ATGGAAAGCACCTGGGAAAATTGACACGGCAACCCCAAAAGTATGAAACTACGCTTTTGGGCAGACAACGCACTGGATCAAGGTTAATCTACTTGAGAAAGGGCGAAAACAAGGCAAGCCAACTTAAGAGACATGGAAAGCACATAGGAAAACCAACCAGGAAAACCAAAAATACGAAGCCAACAACACGAAAATCACATTGGGGCCCAGAGCAGCCAGTTTTTGTCGCAACAAGGCTCACAAAGACAAAGAACCAAGAGTAACCCAAAAAGGATGGAAAACACCTGACGCACAAAGAGCACAGAAGAGAGGGAAACAAAGCAAACCAGTAGTGAACTTGGCCATTTAGAAGAACCGCGCCCGCTCGCTTCTCGCTTTCCGTTGCTTGCCGGACTGGTTTGCAGCTGTTAAACCTTCAGCTTGTTTTGCTATCGCATTGATTGACACTCAGTACTTGCCTGTATTGAATTGTAGTGGTGATTCTCCTGACCAAACATTTTGCCTTTTGATCCATTTTCATTTACTTCGACATTACCACTGTTATCATCATCACCATTATCATCATCACTGTGCCATCACAAGCGAATGCGCATTCGCACCAATTGTCTTTGACCACATTTTTCTAGACATGATTTGCTGATCAGCTGCTTCAGGGAGGTAGTTCTTTGGCTCACGTTGCTTTGGAGATGTTGTTCTTCGGCACATGGGTGGGTGGACGAATGGAGGGCTTAGGGGTAATTCACCTCCATTTTTGTTGTGTTCTGGAGAAGGTATACTTCAGGTCATGCTGCATGCTACAATTTTTTTGGAGACAATAGACTTTTGCGACTTTTGAGTCATGTAACACGACTCATGCTGCTTTGGATCCAACCTAATTTTCAGAAGACCAGGGTAAGACCCAGGTTTTTACAGCAGGAACATGTCAAATGTCACGACAGTCATCATCCCTGCGCGTGACCTTGTTTCAGCTTCTTATCGAGGTTGCACTGGAAACATTGCCTTACGCCAGAGCTTGTGGGAGAACAAAGTTGATAGTTAAACCGCCAGTTAAACATGCTACCCGGAGCCCCTGAAAACATCGAACCATCATTCAGATGATCCTGGTGAACTCAGGATCGAATGGGGAGTATTGCTGCGACCAGACAAGCAAGGTTCGCCGCGCTATGCCAGCCAAGAACTCCTGCCACGCCTAGGTCGTTTAGCACGAGGCTGGATTTTGATGAGATGCGCGATATAATCTACCGGCGAAGAGAGGTTGGGACCCAGGTGTGACCTAAGCCGAGTCTTGAGGGCATGAAAAGCTGAAAACTGATGAAGTTTGTGGAGCGGTGGTTATGGATTGGAAGTCTGGTGACATGGGCCGCAGGGCAAAGGTCTCCTGAACAGTTTGGGACGAGCTGATATGACCGAGAGCGACATTGGTTGATTGGCCAATTGAACTTTCTGCCGCTGCCGTGGCCTAATTTGAATTTGTGCACTTTTTTGTGCCCATATAATATGTGTGCACCTTGTTAGCTGTTTCCTCAGAACTTGATGTCTTGCTTAATTAATCTTAATTAGCTAGGCTCTTGACTTTCGGACTCTTGCATTTGAGTGGAACATTGGCAGCTGGTAGGTGAAGATCCTGAGCTTCCCGGCAGATTGCGGCTTGCTGCGCATCTTTGTGGGGATGACTGTTTAAGGCCACAAAAGCTTGCCTGAGCTTTTGCGTGTGCTGCAATTTATGAGCCAGATAAATGCCATAAGAGTGTTGCTTTCCCTTTCGAAAATTCACTGGACAAGCTTGGATGTCGCACAAGTGTGACCAGTCTACCGGTGTGCTTTGTGGACCAGCAAAACCCATCCTTTGAGGGCCATTAATGGTGACATCCAGCACATCAAGGAGTTGCAAAAGGTGCTCGGCTTCCGGCGAATGCAGCTCAATCCGACCAAGGCGTGAAGGTTGTCACTTGTGCGTAAGCTATTCCAATTCATGTTCCCTAATTCCTATTCCGATCTGTCCTAGCTTCCCACTCGTTAATCCCAAGCTTTTCCCTTGCCTTGACTTCCAGGCAAATCAGGCATCTGGCTGGAAAGCTGTAGAAGCTGCTGCGAATTTGCGAAAACTTTCCGAAGCCATGCCCGAGCTGGAACTGATTCTGCAGGTGAACGAGGACACAACTGTAGCAGTCATAAGCATTCTGTTGGGGTTGGCAGCGGCACGATATGAGACATCTTCAGGAAACACAAGAACTTTTCAGACTTCTCTTCAAGGGTGACGTGCCTCCACCGTCTGTTGCCTAGTTGAACACGCGCAATGGCAAACCTGCGGTGACTCGGTGACAGTGTTTCTTGCAACACACACTGTCCGGACGACTTGCGAGTTTGCAGATCAGTCTCCAGGGCAAACTTGGTGGTGCTGCTTGATGCTTCATGTGGTCTTGGACTAGCACCAACTAGTTGGTCACCGCCAGAAGGCATGGGAAACCAGTATGGATATAAAAGAGAAAGACAGAGCGGATAAAAAGAATAAAGGGAAGAAGCATGCAAAACATACTATTAAAGAAAGCAACAACAGACAGAGCCGATGTTTTTCTGTACTTGATCCCTACGAAGCTTGGAATGGATGACACTATCTCTGAGCCTCT